AGAGAACTCCCACTCCAATGGCCGCCACAAGGTCTCGCCTCTGCTCAACCCACGCCGGGCACTCTGCCAGCGTGTGGAGAGCCGTGTCCACGGTCTGGCCATCGCAGTGGTGGCACTCAGGCGTTGGCTCCTTGCGGATCAGACACAGGTGATCTCCGAAACATCCCTTCCCAGTGATCACCTGCGTCAATCGGTATGAGAGGGTCCCGTGACGCCTCTCGAGCCAATCCTCCATAACGGGTCTTACCGCCGCAATGACGGCGTGCCCAGCGCTCGGTTGCCCGAGTCGTTCCCTCCACTCCCCTATGATGACCTGGCGGAGTTGGGATTTCCGGTCATCGATTTCTCGAATCTCGGGGCATCGACCCAACTCCTGCGCCTCCTTGCGCCACTGATACAGTGCCGCAAGGGCTCTCGCCTCCAGGTCCCACGGTGGAGTTCCGGCCAGGAGACTCGCTGCCTCAAAGGAGATCGTGCGGTACCCCCTTATGATCCTGATGGCCAGCATTCGCTGCGGTCGTCGCAGTATCGCGACGTTGCTGGCCTTCAGGGCCTCCGCCCATACCGGGCACCCGTAAAGGGCCATGGACCGCACAACCCCCGAGTAGAGTCTCCTGCAGGAGTCATCGGGTCCCTTCATGTTGGGCAGCAGCCGCGCCAACGCACGCGCTGCCCCAACCAACTTGGGGACCAGACCTCGGAAATGATATCCGAAGTCCCATCGGCCATCGAGTACGAGCCCCAGATACCTGATCGAGGGCTCGATGCCGATGCGAGTGCCTCCTACCGTGAGGCTAGATCCCTCAGGCGGCTTCCTCCGAAGCCCGTGGAAGAACAGGGCCTCGGACTTGTGCAGAGCCACCTCGAGACCCAGCCGCCGGATACGCTCAACGACTTGGGCAACCCCGGCCGTGGCCCTCAGGGTTGCCTCGTGGTGCGTCTTGCCGCGCGCCGTCACGAGTGTGTCGTCCGCGTAGCACACGACGGCGACACCATCCAAGAAGGTACCACGAAGCACCCAGTCGTAGCCGATGTTCCACAAGAGTGGCCCTAACACCGACCCCTGCGGAACACCGCACGACATTTCACGCCTACCGACACCGGTCCTACTGGGGTAGACGACGGCTCTCTCCGACAAATATGCCCCGACTATGCGGCGGAGGTAGAGAGGCACTTCGTGATACACGAGCGCCTCCCTGATGCAGCTCCAGGGCATAGTGTTGAACGCGTTGGCGATGTCCAAGGACACCGCCAACACCACTTCACCCCGGGAGACTGCTTCCTCCGCCAGAGCCTTCACGCGCATGATCGCATCCACGGTGGAGCGCCCCTGACGGAAACCGTACTGGTTGTCCGCCAGATCCGGCCCAACCATCACGAGATGCTTGACGAGGCGCCTTGCAATCACTCTTTCAAAGAGCTTGCACACCTCGTCAAGCAACACTATGGGCCGGTAGGCGGACGGTGAGTCCGCCGGGCGCCCCTCCTTTCGGATGAGGACCAGTTTCCCCGTCCTCCACAATTTTGGAAACTGGCCCCGCTCGAGGCATGCGCTGAAGAACCCTCGCAGTCGGGGCTCGAGAGCCTCGTCGACTAAGGCCAGGACCCACGCTCGGCCAGGAATGCCATCGGGTCCCGGGGCGGTGTTTTTGGCTTTAAGCCGTAACACCGCCGCCCTTAGTTCCACCCCAGTGACCTCAGGCACGTCGTCGTCATCCACGTTAGGCGCCTCAAGCGCCGGAGGCGGAGCCATCTGTGGCGGAGTATGCTCCACCACTCGCGTTGGGAACAGGGAGCCAACGACCCTCTCAAGCAGCTCTGGCTGAAGACACCGTGTGAGCGGCGGGGCCCATGGGCGCATCTTGCCCCTAACCATACGGTAGGGGCGTCCCCACGGATCCCGCTCCAGTGTCTCCAGCATCTCGCGGCGGGCCTCGCTCTTGGCCCGCTTTATCGCTGCCTGAAGGGTCCTCTTGGCAACCCTGTAACCCGCTGACAGCTCCGCCTCTCTCGCTGCCGCATCTTCGGGGCGGCGACGCCTCCTGCGGAACCTGGACCACTGGCGGCGCGCGGTCACGCAGGCTTGACGCAGCCGTGCGATCTCCGGCGACCACCAGTAGACCTGGCGCCTTGCAGTATTGGGCTGAGCCCTAGGCATCGCCGCATCGCAGACGCGGGTCATGGCCTCCCGGAACCACTGTGCTTCAGCATCGACGTCGACAGGCCTGTCCGGCGCAGGAGCCCAGGCCTGTACGATGGCGGCTTCCAGGAGGAGGTCGCGATCTAAGCGCTTGAGCGCCCAACGTGGTTCAGGTGGTGCCGGTCTGACCGGCGCGCCATCTGCAGGGGCGGAGACGTCAAACCGAATATATCGGTGATCCGAACCTGTCTCCTCCCCGACAACGACGCGCCAGCCTTGGACACGACGCGCTAGCGAGGGGCATGCGAACGAGATGTCCACGATCGAACTACCCCTCGCCGTCACGAACGTGGCCACGGCCCCCCGGTTTAGGAGAACTAGGCCGAATCTTTCAGCCCAGTTCTCCAATGCCCTGCCCCTTGGGTTCGTGCGCAGGGAACCCCAAGCCTGCGACCAGGCGTTGAAGTCCCCCAGCACAAGAACCGGGTGGGGGCGACAGGCATCGACGACGACGGCCAGCTGAGCGAGCCATTGCTCGTACTCAGTTAGGTTTCGGTTCGGCGTGAAATAAGCGGCCACGACCGCTATATCTCCAACTATCGCCGCTACACAGCCCCGTCCCCTTGCAACTACTGCAAGAGGTGGAGTGCCGGCTGCGGTACCGTGCACCAGGGCCGCCGTGCCGTCCAAGTCGGTCTCCCAGGCAGGCCCGAGAAACCGATGGACATATGGCTCGGCGATAGCGGCGATGTTGATGGACCACTGTGCCATGCTCTGGAGCAGAAGATCCTGAGCATCGGCACCGTGGCCTACGTTCACCTGGAGGATGCGGAGATGTGGATCCATCACTGGACTTCCATCCCCGCATCCCGCAGCGAGCTTTGCGGCTGTCCAGCGGCACTCTCCGTCTGGATCAGCGGCTCGGAGGCGGAGGGTCGGCCTCCCGGCTTCGGTCGCGATAGGGCACAGGCCTTACCACCAACCCGGTGGTCGGCAGGCTTGCCCCCCGCTGCGCACCTAAAGCAACGCAGCGGAGCGTTGCAGCCACCCGCCTTGTGACCGGGCTGGCCACAGCGGAAGCATCGGTCACCTACGGTGGCCTCCGCCGTGCAGTGCACCCCTACGTGACCCACCGACAGGCACCTGAAGCACCTTGCCGGTCGGGCCTGCAGGAGTCGTGCCTGCGCCCTCAGGAAACCTCCGACCAGGAGGCTCCGTCCATCGGCGACCTTCTGGGCCGCCGCAATGGGGCAGCTGACAACCGCTGCCCCCTGTCCACCGGGGCCGAAGCGTATTGCTCCGGCCTTCACGCTGTCCAGAGGGCAGCTTCCCGTCTCCGCCACGGCGAGTCTGAGCTCGTCCGCCGTGACAGAGTCGTCCAGGCCCGTAATGCGCACTTCTGCGCATTTAGTGGGTCTGGACACTCGGACGTCAGCTGCATCCAGTGCCTCCCTCAGCTTAGCCGCTAGGGCGTCGGCTTTGGGGCCACTGGTAGCGCCGGCGACCTCGAGGAGCCGGGCTCCCGTCCGTGTGTTTTTACACCGGACGCCCGGAATCTCGAGGGCTTTGAGGTCCACGTTGGCCTTGACTTTCGTCAAGACCTCGGCGTACCCCACGCCCCTCTCCGCTGCCTCCGCCGTCAAAGTGATAACGACGGCCGAGGAGCGAGGAAGTAAACATAGCCTAAAATCTATTCATCAACGCAGAGCCTAAATCGCTGTGGCTATAAACTAGAAATTTTTGCATCTAATGCTTTGAATGACGTCAGCACCCACTAAAAAAGGATGATTATAAATTTCACCCCTAAGGTGGTAACATCACGTGATAGGTATAAAATACTTTTGAATATGACTTGTATACATGGCGTTTCGAGTAATTTCAATTATTATGATTAAATATTATTTATTATTATGACTAAATATTATTTATTATTAGGATTAAATATTATTTATTATTATTTATACCAAGGTCTGTGTGGTGACGGATTAAGAATACAGAGTGTCACGACCCCTATTCATCCCGTGGGTATCGGAAGAGACGACTAAGAGAGCAAACTACGCAGGACAACAGGACTGCATAGAGAAGAAAAACTTCACACCAACCCTATACCAACCCGTCTGACCAGCCTTTCTAATGAAAGGCCTATGTCTAGATGTGAACTATTAAAGGCTGTTGATGTGATGATGATGATGATTATACCAATGCAGGTCGGCTTTATTATTTTTCTTCGATATTTTTTTCCTGACTTTCAAATAAGATAAACATGACTATATGTGTGATTTTAATAAAAAAAACAATTGAAAAAGGTATTTTTTTCTTATTCTGTTCAATCCTTCAGTATTCATACGTTTTCAATATATTAGTGTTAAAATGTAGACTATATTTGTAGTTCACAATTTAATACTGTTTACTTTGATCTCAAAATCTTTTACACGGTAAAAAATAGTTAGTTGAATATTGTTGTTTACTTTGATGTCAAAATCTTTGTACCCTGTAAAAAAATATTAGTTAAATATGTGTGTATAAGTAGTTGTTTCATAAAATAACTTAATGAACTAGCCGAACAATTCTATTAAGTTTAAGTTACGGTTTAAGTTTAGGTTACTACTAATCCGTTTATACAAATAACTTCTTGATTCAGTTTATGAAGGGGTAATCTTATGAATCCCTCAGGGGTTTATCTATTATCTACTCCATAACATATTACGGTTTTGATGGTTGACAACTATTATAGAGCAACAGGCTTTGAACGTGAGACTGAAAACCGCAAATCTCATGAACTGTTAGGATACCCACATACTGCATTTCATACTGCAAAATTGCCAGGCACATAAGGAAAAGGCAATATTGATTTACTTACAATGTCTCTGCCATTTGAAGTTATGTTGTATCTCATGCCTCATGCCCCGCCACAGTTTAGTAACGATTAGTGAGTAGGCAAACGACATGATGAAGAATGGCACCAGCAGTAGACCGACGTCCAGGCCAAGGTTGAAAGCACGTTCTAGTTCAGCATTTGACCAAACTTCTCGACATTTGTATGCTGGAAAGAAAAAAAGCTTTTAATAACTTTCTAATAAAAAGGGCGATACTTATGGGTATAATAATAACTTACAAAAATGCGGCTGGTACCTAAAAAAATAAACCTGAGATATAGGTACCAGCTACCTCCCAGTGACACTGTGACTATTAAAGGCTGTTGATGATGATGATGATGTTACTTAGATGACGTAGGTATGCATTTAAAAGGATTTTTCAAAAGCCGCTCTTAAGGGTGCAAAATGGGGTTGTAAATATATATGAAACTCTGTTATTTTTGGTAGTAGCAATTTCAAACTCACAGCAAACAATCTTTATTAAATCGAAAATACTTTGTTGTAAATTTTTAAAACTACCCCTAAAAAGGAGTGCAGGTTTGTATCGTACGTATACCTATAATCTTGATATTAATCTTTATTGTATCCTCTACAATGTCTGATGTCGACCATAACGCGGACAAAGTCGCAGGCAAAAGCTAGTCTTTCTATAAATAGGAAAGTACGAAACTATTAGGAATCAGTTTCTCCTTTTTTTGTAATGTCTTTTGCTTACCATTTGTTCCAACGTCTTGTAAGATGTTAATTTTGGATTATTTAAGTTTGTAGGTTGTCATTAAAAAATCTTTGAATTATTAATTGAAACTAAGTTTTAAATTATGTGTAACATTGACTTTCAAATTTTTAGATATTATTTCAAGAGATGTACCTAACGAATGATAAATTTTACAGATACGTATATTTAATTAATTTAATTAGCTTTTGGGGTTTCTATTTCCCTAAAATTTAAGTGAATAAATTAGCGTCAGAATAAAACGCCACAAGAGTAATGAAATTCGGTCGTTCCTCTCGTCAGCTGTGAAGTCAATTGCAAAGTTATATAGTAATACATTTAGCCTGCGGCTCCGCCCGCGTAAATGTCGGTTATCATGGTAAAAGGTGGACTATGTCTTTCCCCAAGAATCAAAGTATATCCATACCCAATTGCATGTAAAATGCAGTTTAACGGTTATTGATTCCCTATACAAACTTTCTCCCCCTTAAAGGATTATTTCTGGGAAAAGAACTACCCTATGGCCTTTCCCGGGGACTCGGACGATCTCTACACCTAATTTCATTTAAATCGGTTAAGCGGTTTAAGCGTGAAGAGGTAACAGACAGACACACTTTCGCATTTATGATTGTCCTTAATAATACTACCAAATAGTTTTAGATCAGTACCTACTGCTCAGAAGCCGGATTTTTAATAAATTTTTAACACGCTTTTATTAACTTCACTTGTAACTATGTCATCAAATCTTTGAATTAAATTTAACCTACTTCTAATTGTTGTTCTGAATAATACCATGTGGTCGAGTTCATTCATACTTAGTTTGCTTCCGATTCGTCTTTACTATTTGACGTCTTCTTTAACTACTCTTTATTTATCCATATTTAAAAAAAAGAAAGAAAGAATAAAATATTTATTTTGGCTACCAACTTCTCTTTAGAATCGGATATTTATAATGAATATAACATAAGCTGTCGGAGATCGGATTATGCATAGATAGATATATATCATGTAATATAGTCCTAACTCTTCAATATTTAATACCTAATGTGCTCGCTTCGCAGCAATAGGCTTGAACATAAGCTTTACTTGTAACAATGTAATCAAATGTTTGAATTAAATTTCAATCTTTTAACTTTTAATTGTTGGATCGAAATGAAATTTTATGTAAACAGAATAAGAATGACAATACTAAATTTTTTTGGTCTGTGGTGTCGGGTGTGGTTATCGATTTCGATAGATCGGCACAGGCATAAATATAATCGATTTTCGATAGGTATAGTTTTTCATTTCTATTGAGTGTATTGATCTATGACCTCAGAGTCAGCATAAAAGACGATTTCAATAAAAAAAAAAATAAGAATAAAACATATTTTGAGTTTGATTCCCAGGTCGGACGGTATTTTCTATGTACTCGTATAATATGTGTGTATTTACAAAAAAAATGATGGCACCGGCGGGTGAATAGGGAATGTAAAGTTTGAGAAACCCTCCTGTTAGTGAACTTTTGAGAATTGTCATCTCTAGAATTATGATGCATTTATTATTAAAATCATATCATTACTAGACCAAGATTGGACTTGGTAATGAGAGTGATCCCAGGAACTAGATTTTACTTTTTAATTCGGTTCGCCATTAAAACCTGTTTTTTAGTTTTACAAAAATATGTCAGTGGCTCCTTGATGCACCTGACCTTCACTTACATTACGAATAAACTTGTATGCGACCCTGACCTTCTCAAGGTGCTGAAGCCATAATCATCGCACTAAAGAGAAATGGGAAAAGTGTATGAAAATTACAATAGTTTCACATCACATAATATTTGCCGACAGTCAACAAAAACTTAGGATCTCTAGGTCTAATTTATAACATAGAATTCTCTAATTTTACTCGTCGTTATAAAGAGACCTCAACCTAACGGACAAAAAACAGAGACATAACTAAAAATGAAAACTTGTGTGTTGAAACGAAAGTGACATCTAGCATATAATATGCATCCAAGCGTGAAAACTTTATTCAATAAACCTCGAAGGTGACCTCGGACGTTCGGACTCTCGAAAAATATCTGGCTTTTCGAATTACACTATCAGTTTCAGATGAAGCCGATGCACATATATTATTGAGTCATAACCATCAATCAGTTAGAAAACATACTGCATGCATAGTGATCTTCAAACTTATATATAAAACAAAAACTTCTGCTAGTAACGGGTAATATCATGTAATTGATGTCGAAAATCATTACATTACTGCAGAAGTAGAAATGCCGCAGAAGCATTATCGAAATAAACAACAAATTGTTTTCAGAAAATATTTATATAAAAGTACGTGCCAAGCCGATTATAAAGAAGTAAACAACCAGGAATGTCGATATTGATGTAGCTCAATGATCAGACAAGCAGGAAGGAGTAATCTTCTTAGGTAGAAAAATGTTGTCAGCTTTTTTTTGACAGAAAAACACCATTTGGTAGGTATAATAGCAATATGAGAATATTCAGACTTAGTTTTGCTCAGAGTTTTGCTTGGGTATTCTATTCATCCATCTAAAATTGTGATGTTATTCATTTGAAATACTATAACATGTCGTTATTTTCTGATGATCTAAATTTTTTTCGTTCACTGAAGTTCCATTCAGTGGGGTCCCAAAGAATTCAGTTAATAAACCCAAGACGATCATAATTCTACATTTTACAGTTCGAGGTTAGCGGAAAAAATTTAAGAGAAGTTGACACAATTTGGGATTTTGGCGTTATCTTTGACACAAAGCTTACATTACATATTGATGAAACTCCTAAAATAGCAGCCTAAATGCTCAGATTTTTGCTAAAAAACAACGTTGGTTACAGGAAGATTAGCATCAAAATATTTTACAGTTACTTATACAATAGTCTCGACCGCTACCGGAATTGGTCATTCGTAACGGATTTTCAGTTCAACATTGCTTAGGATTATTTTTTCAATAAGCTTTACGAGCCATGCCATTTTAAATCTTAAATTAATTCTTATCATATGTTGGTTTATACTTCACAACAGAGACCTTGAACTACAGATAAGCGACTCTGTACACCTCTAGCTATTGCTTACTTACTTATCGTGTCGATGGCAATACTTTACACGGCTTTGGCCCAGTACTCGGCGACGCGAATGGTGTTTGGCCTTGCTTGATATAGTTCGTCAAGCGTACACGATTCTGGGCTCGCGGGGCATGTTAGCAAGTGGCCCATTGTCTGTGGCGATGCGCCACAGTTGCATTTATTTGCTCTTGCGTTGATAAATCCCCACCTTAACAGATTGCCGTTAGATTTGCCAACCTGTTGTGCCTTCTAGGTTGGCCTGGGGAGTTTATCTCCTGGAGGTGCTTTTTCTGCCAAGGGGACGAAATCGGAGAGAGGGAACTTATTACGCCATATGTTTTCTCTGGCCTTGGGAGCGTTGTTATTGTCGGCAGGAATTAAGTCAAGGAAACTGTTTCGACTTTTCAGCCTTTTCGTGATTTGTTTTCGGACTTACAATGGGTGTATAGAATCAGTTTCCTGTTTTCACTTTTCTATGGCGGAGACTACTTCCCTGTGGACTGCTGGAGGGGCAATGCCTGCTAGTGGGTATTGCAGCTCTACCGGCGTCGGATTCAGACATACAGTTATTTTCCAGCACGTTTCGTTTACACTACCGTAAATAAACAATTTCTTTTTCCTTACATAACCTCTCCTTATTTTATATTATCTCTCTTTATTGCTTTCCTTTCACTTTCGATTTACTACCAATTTTCGCATATCCAATTCAATAAACTGAACAATAACATATTAACGATAAAAATATGAAAACTCTCCTTGAATTTTGCTATTACAAAGTATGATAAATTTGATTCATAAAATAAGGAAATAACTTTATTTGTGTGATATTTCTATACTGTGTATATTAAAATTACTGCGAAACGAATAACATTAGCGCTCACGAGCGTCTTATCAACACAGTTCTGTGTAAATGTACGAATGTCGACGAGGAGCTTATCTTATCACAATGAGAATAAATTATAGAAATTTCCTTAGCTAGATTGACTCGTGATTTTGTGTAGGCAAGGTTTTGACAATTTCTAATTTAATATTATGAATGAGAATAAGAAATTGTATTACCTTCGAATATATCCTTATTTCAATTTAATTTAGCTACTTAGCCTAATATTGTGCAAAGATTACATTAACTTTTTTTTTTAAGTCTTCCTAAAAGGTGTTTTTTCCACCTGTTAGACAGATTTAAAAAAAAAAGCACAAAGAAAGAAACAATTTTAATTTTATGATATTATTTTACTAAATAGGTGTTGATTTATTTGTTAAAATTAACTAACTTAACATCATCACATCACATCAACAGCCTTTAGTAGTCCACCTTTCTAAGGAGAGGCCTATGTCCAGCATAGGCCTCTCCTTAGGAAGGAGAGAAAATTATACATCAATGGGT